TGCTCAACTAGAACTTCTTCGTTAAACTTAAAGACATTTACTTTAGCTTCAATTATGAATTGACTTTTCACAGGTATTTCAGTTATTTTAATTAACCTTACAGAAACTCGTTCTTTCAAACATTCCTGTTGGGATGCTCTGTTGCTTATGTTATGCATAAGTGTAGAGTCATCTGAGGGGTTTGAAGTATTATTTTCCTGTTTTATAAGTTTATATTTATTCATTAACTTATTCTGCCTTACTTTACTATCACTCACCTTATCTTTATGACTTCTGCTAGGTTTGACGTTTTTCTGTGTAGTCCTATTCTCTGGCTTTCTTTTTGAACTTTCTTTAGGACACTTCTTATTCTTACTCTTCCGACTTAGTCGTGTGTCACTACACTTCAAGAAGTCAGTGCTGTCGTTCTGGGATGGTTGATCCTTAGCCTTGCTAGTACAAGCATTAGGTGTCTGACTGTTTGTCAGCGGGAAGGTATCATGTGTCGTAACTGTCGCACATAAGTTTGAAGGTTCACACCCTTCAAAACTTAAGACCTCTGTTTCTATGTTGATGCTGTGTCCTATTTGGATACTCACCAGGATACAGAGAAATTCTGCTATATAAACATGTCAGGAGCTGGAAAGTCAGTTCTCCGGTGAGTTCTGAAGCTATCCAGTTCTCCAGCTAGTTCAACTATGCAGCTCAACAATCTTGACTCTGCTGCCAAGAAGGCTCCAACTCTGCAGTAAGTATCTCTCTCTCTAGATCAGCTTTTGTATAATATATGATTTTACAAGAGAAGTGTTATTAATGTTCAATGGTTAAAGAGTTAAATAGTAACTATTATGCAAGGTGTATTAAAGGCTAATAAAAGTTATTTGTGAATAGTATTGCTGGTCTGAGACTCATATTCTTTACTCTAACTGTAAACTCCTGGAGTTAGCGACTTGTGGCTCCACTCGTCACGACAAAATCCTCCAACAAATAAATTTGGTGTACAGGTTAGTTTTAATTGAAACTCCAACAATTAAGCTCACATGAGCACTAACCTGTTACAGCTGGTGCAGTCTCGAGGATTTTTGGAGCAGCTAACAAAAGGTTAGTTAGAATAAAAAAAGACAGAAAAAGTAAGAAAATTGTCCGAAGTAGTATAAGTTAGAAATAAGTTAGAATTAAGTAGTTATGGCTACTGCTGGGGTAGATACGACTATGGAAGAGGGTGGTGCACGACCTAGAGCCAATAGGCGGGCCGACGCCGATCACGAAGCTGCAGTAGAACAACCTGCACCAATAGGGTCCCGCGGCACGACACACTTAACAAGTGCCATACTGTTGTATCACGGCACTGCGGACGAAGACGTCGAAAGTTTTATAGATGCTTTAGAGGAAGCAGCAAGAATATCGGGCTGGACAAATGCCCGGAAAGCTGATATACTGCAGTTAAGAACAGCAGGAGAAGCAAAACGTTATATTAGGGCTTATGGCGAACTTCGTGAAACAACAGATTACTGATATTTAGTACGTAAGTTGTTACAAGAATACAGGACACGAGACTCCACCAATGTCATTCTAACAGAACTGCATAACCTTCATCAACAACGTGGCGAATCAGTCCGAGTTTTTGGACACAAGCTACAGGAGTTAGGTAATAGGTTACGCAGAGCTTATGCACGTCCAAGCGAGGATATGTTGCAGGATACTCTAAAATCAGAATACGAGCGAGGGCTGTATAGTAATGCAGCTAGGCAACATGTAAATGAAGCAAATAACGCTCAAGCAACATTGTTAGATCTAATTAAAGTAGCTACCCGAGAAGAACTACGAGAAAAGCAGCTATATAAGCCCAAATATTCGGCTATAAATACGGTTAATAACTTAAGCAAGGCTAATCCGTCGGATACGCAGACGTAGAATAAGTCCGATAGCTTCCAGTGTTACAACTGTGGAAAAGTTGGACACATGGCTAAAAATTGCTTCAAGAAATCAAAAAGAAATGAGCAGACAGTGTGCTATAACTGTGGCATTACAGGTCACATGGCACGTGACTGTCGACGTCCACGGAAGGTTGAAAATGGAAAAGCCCCAAAGGCTGGAACCTACGGAAGAAGGTTTACTAATAGTAAATCTACCTTCTCTAAAGGTCCAAAAAACGTAATCCCCGCCAGAATTACAGAGCAAAAGTAGAGGTAGTTCCGGCAGTATGGGATAAACGATCGGGTATTCATACTATTAATGAAGTATCACCAGTGGTTCAAGTAGAAATAGAAGGTATAGCATGTCGGTTATTGGTTGATATGGGTGCTCAATCATCTCTACTAAGTTCTGAACTAGTAGATAGAAATCCGACATTGTTAGATAATGCTTGGAAAGAAGTTTCCAGAAGTATTTTAACGTCTATAACAGGACACCCTGTTAAGACATTAGGTAGATATAATATGCAAGTAAAAGTAGGAAACCTAGAGCTAAGTCATTCGTTTTACATCTGTAAGCAGATAGACTTAGACACAGATGGTATTATAGGGCAAGATTTCTTAAGAACTTACGACACTGAAATATCTCTTACCCAAAGTAAGCTACAATCAAGAACGAGGTTAGAACTTCAGTAAGTAATAGCACAGCCCATGCATAAGCTATAGAAACAAGCATAGGAGTTTGGTGACCGAAGGTTACAGTAGAGGCAGTTAACAACCTCTTTAGTCATCACTGTTCTAAACATGTTTTGCACACGAAACGCCAATGTACAAGGCCAAGAAAGAGGATGTTGGCCTCGATTCTTTAGCACTGTAGAAGCTATAGAAAAGTTTATATTTTATGAATCATCTCGGTGCTTTGATGCAGTATCAGTTACAGAACATGGGTGTAGCAGTACAAGCAAGTAGGCAGCCGGTTAACAGCAGTTGCCCATGACCAATAGCCTGAGGGTTTTTGGGTGTGGTACCAGATCAGCCCAGAACTTGCCTGCAAGCATCCAATAGGAGCACCTGCACTACCTGTGGACTTATCTCTCAAGGCTTATTTTTTATAATACACAGGCATCTCCTTGTCCTCTTTAGTTTTTTATATGTCCTTCGAGTTGTTGACTTGTTATATGTCCTTCAACTGGTGTACTATTATTTAACTCTTAAAATCTTCATATGCAATTTATATCTTATTAACTATTTACTTAATGTTATATTATACAAATTCATAGAAGCAAAGGATGAAATTTCCCTGAAAAATTTCTTTTTGCTTCAACATCAAAACAGAAATATTATTCAAGAGGGAAACAG